TGTATTGTGTTGCTACCATTCCATATGGTTCCTTGCCACAGCTTCTTTCATAGCATGGGACACCAGTTCCCTCAACTCTATCCTACTGGCTGGCTCTAAAACAAGCAGATAACTCCTTTCCATTTGAATGGATTTTTAGTGCTAGTCACTCCAAGTCTTTTATTCTTGAAGCCACCTGTCTGAATTCCCTTCCTTATGAAGAGCTCCAGGACAGGCCACCATTCCTTTATTCTACCACTTTTCTTTTTTGAATTTCTGGGGATGGTATTTATCACTTATTCCTCCAAATCTTTCAAAGTACAGCCTCTCCCTCAGAGTGACATATAATAAATAACATGACTGAGTACCACCATATATGCAGCACTGTTCTAAGTGCTTTAAATATACTGTATTTAATCCTTACAATAACCAGATAAAATAGGTACTATTACTGTCATTTTACAAGAAGATTTTACTTTGCCCAAGGTAACACAACCAGTAAGGGGTAAAGCCACTACTCTTTCTCTCTGATAGCCCTTCTCCCTATCAGAATATCCTATTAGTGCAAAAACTCAGGTATTGACTAGAACATTCAAACTCCAAATTTAATTAAAGTTCTATGGAAACTCCAAACTGATACCCATAATAACAATATTCCCACTTTATCCAAGAAACGTCATTCAACTCAGGACACTGTGTGACAAGCATCATCCATACTTTCTAGATAACTAGGACAGAACCAGCCTAATCAGTAAGTACATGAGCCGCTATGGGGTAGCATCAATACCTTGGATGTGCTCCGGACAATGCTCACTTCAGAGTTAAGTGGTTAGCCTATACTTCAAAGTGGAAGTAATTCAGGGATTCTCCCAAGACTGAGCAGCAAGTGTCAAAACGTGGAATTTCCCAGTCCCTACTCTAGGTATCAGCCACTGTCTATACCTACTAAAGGTGAACTAGCTTCACAGAATTCAATCCAGTCTCATCAGAATTGACCGAGTCTGCCTACTTTCACAAACTAATAATACAGATGAAGAGGTTTAAATAAACATGACTATGTTAAGTTCCCTTTTCAAATTATTTTACACAAGAAGGAATGCACTTGCACCTTCAGAAAGAGGAATCAACTTAAATTTGACAGGATTTCAGAAAATTCTGATTGAAAATCACATTCTTCTGACATCTCCCAGAATGAAAATTCGTTTTAAGATCCTCTTTTCAATGAGCAGCAGCCTCTTGTAAATTAATACTGCCTATCTCCTGCTCAAGCCCTGAATTTCCTCAAGCAGCATAACGTCACTCATATGTTCTTCATTTCCTTTCCTACTGAACCATACAAGGCTCATGAATACCACCTAAGTATAAAACAAAATTATAAACGAGACTCCCATAATCTTCTTAAAGAAAGCCCAGCCCTGACTGGTGTGGCTCAGTGGACTGAGTGCTGGTCTTGGAACCAAAAGATCACTGGTTCAGTTCTAAGTAAGGGCATATGCCCAGGATATGGGCCAGGTCCCCAGGTGAAGGTGTGTGAGAGGCAACTGATCGATGTATCTCTCACACACAGATGTTTCTCTCCCTCTCCTTCTCCCTCCCTTCCCCTCTCTCTAAAAATAAATAAACAAAAATCCTTTTTTAAAAAAAGCCCAAAAAAGTAATTGCAATCTTGCAAAGTAAATTGATTTCCTGCTAACTTAAAAACTAACAATTATTAATACCTTATAATAACAGGCATAACGTAAGACAAAAAGGGGACCTAAAATTACTACATTATGGTCCCTGCCTTGAGAAGCTCACTATTAAATGGAAGAAGTATATATTCTGATATCCTTTGGGAGGGGGAGGAGTATTCTTTTTAAAAATTTTTCATTGTATTTTTTTCCATTACCATTTATTCGCCTTATACCCCCTCCCTCCAGCAATCACCACACTGTTGTCCATGTCCATGAGTCCTTTTTCCTTTTTGCTCTCTGATATTTCTTTGTAAATAAAAATAAACATCTTTCCTCAGGATATTTTTTTCATATATGCCCTCACTTACTCAGTGCTATTGCCAATGTATTAAGCTCACCAATCCTCTTTATTCCCAGCTGCCTAACATCTCCATGTGCACATCCCACACAACTTGATCTCAGCACACCAGGCTCTCTCTCTTATACCTCTTTCCATAGCCAGCCTCAACTCTTAAAAAATCTGCTCTACTTTTTCCTGGCCAGTGGAATTCCCATTCACCCAATCTCACAAAACTTTATCTCACTCTCTCTCTCCAGTCACTAAGACCTGTTGCATCTATCTCTAAATGATTTCTAAAACCCATTCCCCTCTTCTTCATTCCTACTGCCACACTTTATTCAGACTCTCAATCAATTGCAACGACTCTAATTAGACTCACTGCCTCATTTCTCATTACTTTTAATTTTCACTCTGTCACTCCCTAACATAAAAAGCACCTCCTGCTCTGGCCAGGTAGCTCAATTAGTTAGAGGGTCATCCCAAAAGGCCAAGGTTGCAAATTCAACCCCCAACCAGGACACATACAAGAGTGTGTGAATGGGTGAAACAACGACTCGATGTTTCTCTGTCTCTCTCCCCATTCCTCTCTCCCTTTCTGATTAAATCAATAAATAGGGAGGGGGATAACAATGAAAAGAAGGGGAAGGGACTAGTCAAAGAACATGTATTTAAAAAAAAAAGAACAAGTATGAATGACCCATGAACAGGGACAACAGTGTGGGGACTGCCGGGGCGGAGGAGGGTAAAGGGGGAAAAATTGGGACAACTGTAATAGAGTAACATTTTTTTAAGTAAAATCAATAAATAAAAAAATCAGAAAAAAAGCACCTCCTGACAACTTCCCCACCACACATCCTGATTGGGACACATTTCTGATACTTCAACGTCATGTTATTTTTCTCCCTCACATTTTCACCATTTCTATGCACATACTGTTTTCTCCAACTGGAATGCCATTCCTATTTGTGCAAGTTCCTACTCATCCTTCATCACCCAACTCAAGTATCTCTGCCTTGTGAAGGTTTCTCTGACTCTCCAAGGCAATGGCAGTAATCCCTTTATACTGTACAAATTCCTCTATAAGGATACGTACTACACAGCATTACCATTTTCATATGAATATCTTTTGACTTCCTTGAGGAAAGATACTCATATTTCCAACCCCAGTGCCAGGTACATAGCAAGTGCTCAATAAATGCATACTGAATTTCTCCCTTATACCTCATTTCATCTTCATATACCCTGAATCAATTTATTTGGCTATTTTCCCCAAATAATAATAATTCTTAAACTTGATTTTATGTGAACTTTCAAGTTTCTTTTTTTTTTTTTTTAAAGAAACAAAAGCCAAGTTTATTTGTTCGTTTGTTTCTTGCATTTGAAGCACTCCCCGATGACATCCTTTGCCCGAGACTCTGCCACAGTCCTTAACCACCACATAACTGCAACCAACCACTTTACGGGGTTTTCCCTCTGTCATCTTACAGAGGTCTGCTCATTCCCCTATTTCCTGTTGTCGTCAACCTTAATTAGGTTGATTTGGCGTTCAGCTTCCATCAACCTGACAGACAAAGGCTCATCACAGTTGGAAGCAAGCACACAAAGGTGGGCTGGGCGCTTGTCTAAGGCTTTGGCAGCTTCCATTCCGAGCCCTAGGCCATCGTGGATGAGGACAGTCTTCAGCACCTCCTGTAAAGCAGTATTGACGTCCCTTACATCGCCAACAGCAAGGCCTTCCCCGGCCACAGCCTGGGCGGTGGGTTACGGGTGGAATTGAATCCTCGGACCGCACCCAAGCCTCTGCCTCCAAGCAACTCGGCAGGATAACTCCGCGGCAGCAGGGAAAGAGTGAAATTTCAAGTTTTATAACAACTTTGAGTTTTTAAGGTTTTTAAAATAATTATTACACAAATGTTGAACAAGTGAATGAATTATAATGCTTAAACTTCCACGAAAAACACCTGAAAGGCTTCCCTATTCACTAAAAGAATGGTAATTCTGCCTTCACAGTCCTAACCAGGAGGATCCACCTTTCTCTAGACTGATTATCTGAAAGGCCTTTACAAAGGAAGTACTGTGCACACAAATCCCGCAGAGGGCACACCCAAATAATTCCAACTAACTTGTGCTAAAGGCAGGTACGCAGATCATATTTGCCCTGGTTTACAAAGGCACTGAGAACTCCAAATAGCAAAGAAACAGTTCTCACTCAGCTCAAAACTTTTTCTGTAGAGGAATAACTGGGGAGGAGGGTCTGATGAACAAGAAACATTTATTCGGGCCTGACCCCAAATAGCCATTTCCCCCATTCCGCGAGGCAGCACTCCACAGCTTCTGAGAGCTCTCCTTCTCGAGGGGACTATTTCATTCCCCACACTTGATGGGAACAGGTTCCTTTCCCAGGTTCGCACCACGTAACCCAGAGGAAACACGGTTGCTTCATTGATTCTGTGGGAAGCACGGGCTGAAGCCCGTCGGTCACAGACTAAAAAGAGGGAGAGGATGGAGCCTTTCCGGGACGCCTGAAGACTTGGGGCACACCGGTCTTTCCCTAGCCTCTCTCAGGGGTCCTGCCCCAAGCCCTCACCCTACGGCCAGGCTGGGCTGAGGGCCACCCGGGGACCGGAACAATCTGGGAGCCGAGACAGCTTAAGGAGTCAGGGTTGGCCCCGTGTTGAGGTCAAGGGTCAGCTCCTCCGCTGCCAGGAGGGCCCAAAAGGACCCAGTAGGGACGTGACTGGCACCGGATGTTCCGAGGGCCTCGCCGCTAGACTAGCCAACCTCTTCTCGCTCCGCTCCGCCGCCCCGGGCCCAGCCTCCCCGCCTCACGCAGCCTCAGCCCGCCTCAGCGGCTGTCCTCCCTCCCTCTCCCCCGCCTCTCGTCGCCCCCGTCGTCCCCAAAGCGAGCTCAGGCCCCGCCCCCAGAGCCGCCTCTCAACCAAGGCCTAGTACGGCAGGACCCGCAGGGGTTGGCCAGGTTCCGACACCGGCGCGGGCGCGCCGCTTACCGAGCCCCGCGTTCTTCCTCTACCACCCGCGCCGCTCCTGGGCGCGTTAGCTCCCGACGCCACCGACGCCGCCGCTGCTCGGGGTTTACGGCTCCACTCCCGACCTCCCCTGGCCCTTCCCTAGGCCCACGGTGCCCCGCTGGGTCCTAAAACCCGCCGCTTGATAGGTTCGTCCACGCCCTGAGGCTGGCTCAGACCACGACTCCCAGCAACCAACACAAAGACAGCAACTCCCGAAATGCACCGCGAAAAAAGAAATTAGACATCTATTAAGGATCTACTGAATGCAAGTTGCAATAGCAATGCTTTTAAATATGGCAGACTTTGAAAGCGGCAATTCCACTTCTAGGAATAAATGTATCTTCTAGAAACACTGGCTAAGTTTGGAAAGATATATATTCCAAGCTGTTTATGACAACTTTGTAAGGTGAAAGATTGAAAACAAACTCATTCGTTTAATGAGTTTAGCGAGTTAGTGTGTTTCTACTCTGTGCCAAGAACCGAATAAGGCTGTGTTAACTTGGCAAATAACCTGAGTTTGTTTTCTCATGCAAAATGGAAGACTGAAAAAGATATGCTGAGCAGTGACTTCAGTGACTTTATGGAACTCGAACAGAGATAAATATTTTGGAGCCATTGGCTTAAGTGGTAATGGCTCAAGCCATTAGAAAGGAGTGAATGCCCTAGGAAGAAGGTTAAAAGAAAAATATGGTCAAGATAGAATTTAAGCACATTTAAAGGCTGGTGGAGGAAAATGAACCAATAGCAAACAAAATTCTGAAGATAGTATTGTTTAGAAAAGAGGAAGGTAGAGGTAAAAGGTGCCGTGGAAACCACAGGAGGGATTTTCAGGTCAGCAGTGGTTTGAGGAATGAATGGAAGAAGAAACAGTGGAGGCAGCAAATGCTAGAGGATCTCTGCAAGAAATGTGACTGAAAGAAAAGGGAGAGGGAGCAGTGAGAAGATGAGGATGAAAGAGTGACTTCTAAGCCAGGACAGATGGGAGTGTTTCCATGCTGAGAGCAAGAGGACAGAATGAAGCTGATGAATTAGAAATGGATGCAGGCTCTCCATTGTGGAACTTGTGGAGAAAAAAAGGGAACTTGTGGAGAAAGAAAGGGAGAAGCAAGCCTCACGAAAAGGGACTGGACTTGGAGGAAGAATACCACATCACCTGAGAAGGCAGTCAGAGATGGAAAGGACCCCTAAATATCAACTTGTATGTATTGCTGGAGAAATTACACACAGACCCAGTGCTTCTAAAATATGTTTTAATTTTGTTTTCTAGCAAGCTATTAGTTTGGGTGATGAATTGTTGATAAAGTGGTTTGGTGCACTGACTCCGGACTCACATTGCCTGTGGTTGAAAGCCTACCCTGCCTCTACTGCTGTGTGATCTTGGTCAATTTATTAACATCTCTCTGTGCTTTATTTTCCTTATCTGTAAAAGGGGCTTGTCATATGGAAGTATGAGCTATTATAATTATTTTCCACTAAATTGTCACTTCCGTGAGGTTGAGGGTTATTTTGTTTAGGGCTGTCTACTCAAAGTAGGTGCTTAGTTGGTTGGATCATCCTCCTGTACCCAGAAAGGTTGGGGGTTCGATTCCCAGTCAGGGCAAATGCCAGGGTTGCAAATTCAATCTCGGGTTGGGGAACCTATGTGGGGCAGCCAAAGTTTCTCTTTCTCTTTCCCCTTCTCCTTCCTCTCCCTACTCCCTCCCCTTCCTCTTTCTCTCTCTCTCTTAAAAGGCAATAAAAAAATGTCCTCCAGTGAGGATAAAAAAAAATCATGAATAAATCAGTGAATAAGTTGGGGTGAAAAAGCGAGTTTTCGAGGGGAGGGCAGTCTTTGAGGAAGGACTCTCAGCGGGACCGGAATCCCCAATTCTTAAGTAAGACTGGCCACTCCGAGGCTTCCAGGGCCCTGGGACAGCATGCCCACATCCCTGCAAAGAGAGCGTCCCTGCGGATAGCGAGATCTGAGGCGATGAGACCTGCGCGCTCGGTAACTCTTCCCCTGCCAGGCTCCCGTGGCTCCTCCCCTGTCGAGCCATGTCGCGCAGGCGGGGCACCAACCCGGCAAGCCCTGAGCTGGAGGGGCGGGGCGGGGCGGGGCGGAGCCGACTCGCTGGCCGGGCCCACCTCCTCGACCCCAGACGGAAGTCACAGCTCCACTCTCGACCTCCTTTGGCAACCCCGAACCTAGAGCCGGGCCTCGCCCCGCAGGGCAGCCGGTCCTGCGCGTGCTCCGGGGAGGGCGGCAGGCACCATGAAGCGTGTGGCGACTCTGCGCCTGCTCTCCGACCTGAGCAACTTCAGCGGCGCGGCCCGGCTTCGGGAGTTTCTGGCTGCGGACCCAGCCGTCCGAGTCCGCTGCAGCCCGGACGGCCGCCACCTGCTGCTGCTGCGACCCCCGGGGACGTCAGCCCCGCAGCTGCTGGTCGCAGTTCGTGGACCCGGAGAGGAGCTGGAGCGCTCCTGGCCGGCGGACCACCCCTCACCTCTAGACGCCTTCTTCCTGCCATGGCCCGTGCGACCCGCGCTAATCTTGGTGTGGGAAAGTGGCCTGGCGGAGGTGTGGGGCACGGGCGTGGGGCCTGGCTGGCGAATACTTCAGAGTACCAAGCTGTGTCTGGGCGGTGCATCCCGCGTGGTGGCAGTGGCGGCGCTTCGAGGCCGCTTGGTGTGGTGTGAGGAACGACACGGTGATGCTAAGGGCCAGCTACAGCCGCCCTCAGCTGCCTTCAACCACTGCTTGTGCGTCAGAACCCTGGAGCCCAGCGGGGAGACCGGCACCAATCTGGGCCGCACACACATTCTTCTACACCATTGCCCCCCTTTCAGGCTACTGGCCTCTCGCAAGGACCTCTTCCTGGTGCCCACTGCCACCACCTGGCCTGGCGTGGACCACATTCTGCTCATCTGGAGCCCAGGAAAGGGTAAGTTGATGGTGGCTGCCCCAAGTCTTCGCCTCTCCTACGGTAAGAGCCTGAATCCTGGACGAGGGGACACATGGGACTTCCGGACCCTGCTCCGACGCCTTCCTGGGCTTCTATCCCCCAGGCAGCCATTGACTGTACATACCTGGGCCCCAACTCCCCAGGGTCTACTATTGCTTGACTTCAGGGGCACTGTGAGCCTGGTTCAGTCCCACGGTGGTACCCGGACTGTGGGCACGCTTCAGGAAGCACCTGTAGGCCTGGCAGGGTCTGCAGCGCTGGGAACGTTCCATGGTACTCTAGCCTGTGTGCTGGGCTCCACATTGGAACTGTTGGACATGGGCAGTGGGCAGCTGCTGGAGAGGAAGGTCCTCAGTACAGACCGAGTACATTTGCTTGAACCCCCAGCCCCTGGCACAGAAAATGAGGAGAAGATGGAGACCCGAGGGGGTCTTCGTTTGCTTTCAACCTTGGGATTGTTTCAAGTAGTATGGGAAGCCCCACAGGGCCTCCAGCTGCCTTCAGCTGGAGACCTGGTGTTTGAGGAAGCCTGTGAGTACTACCAACGGCGGAGCCTACGGGGTGCCCAGCTCACCCCAGAGGAACTGAGACACAACAGCATATTCCGGGCACCTCAGGCCCTGGCTTCCATCCTTCAGGGCCATGTGTCCCCATCTACACTGTTGACCACACTGAGGGCCGAGCTCCGGGATTACCGGGGCTTAGAGCAACTCAAAGCCCAGCTCGTGGCTGGGGATGATGAGGAGGCTGGCTGGACTGAGCTGGCAGAGCAGGAAGTGGCACGCCTGCTGAGGACCGAGTTGATGGGAGACCAGCTGGCCCAGCTGAACACCATTTTCCAAGCCCTTCCTACAGCAGCCTGGGGTGCCATCCTTAGGGCCCTGCAGCTCCAACCAGATGGGAATGGCAGGTTGAGGTCCCAAGCTCCTCCTGATGTGTGGAAAAAGGTACTAGGTGGTACAGCAGTTGGAAAGGAACTCCCCAATGGGGTGCTCCCCCTCTTTGAACTTCTATGCCAGTGCCTCTGCCAGCTGGAACCACGATGGTTGCCACCCTTTGTGGAGTTGGCACAGCAGCAGGGCGGGCCTGGCTGGGGTGCAGGGGGCCCAGGGCTCCCCCTGTATCGCCGAGCCCTGGCAGTACTAGGTGAGGAGGGGACCAGACCTGAGGCACTGGAGCTAGAGCTGCTTTTGGGCAGTGGGCGGCCCAAAGCTGTGCTCCAAGCTGTGGGGCAGCTGGTGCAAAAGGAACAGTGGGAACGGGCTCTAGAGGCTGGCCTGGCCCTCGGCCCCTCCAGCCCCCTTCTTCGAAGTGAGATCTTCAAACTGCTATTGGCCGAATTTGCCAGGCACCGCCGGCTTGATGCTCATCTCCCCCTCCTGTGCCGCCTGTGCCCGCCAGAACTAGCTCCAGCTGAGCTCCTCCTTCTACTGCGGACACACCTCCCAGATGAGTCGAAGCCCCCTACCCCATTCCCTGAGCCTGGAGCAGAGCCCCCTCTCACTGTGGGCTTGGTCAGAGCTCTGCTAGAGCAGGCCGGGGCTCAAGGACGGTCCTCAGGCCCAGTTTTAAGCCTATATGAAGACATCCTCTGGGACGCAGGCACTCCACCTCCCACCCCACCTCGAGGACCTATGACTACCCTACAGGCATCAGACCACACAGGGCCAGAGGCTTGGACACCATCTGGACAGGGCCTCTGTGTGACTGACACAGGCTGAAAATCATTTCTGTGATCAGGGAAGGATGCCTAGGAGTTCGAGAGGGCCATGGTGGGGTCCGTGTGTGCAATATTCTCCTCTCTTCTGAAGCAATGTTAAAATATATATGTATGTTAAATATTGTGATATAATAAATATGTTTGGTCTTTATCCTCAGGTTTTGTCCTGGTACAGGGCTCTCCTAAAACCCTTGGACTTTCCTGAGTGATAGGAATGTCTTTTGTTATTCATAATGAACCCCTTTGGAGATCTGCCTGCCTCAATACAAATGAGGATGTGGCCCCCAGCCTTTAGATGGGGCTGGTTACCAGAAAGACCAAGTGATGAGAGGGCCGGAACTTTCAGCCCCATCCACAACCTCCTGGGAAGAGAAATTGAACTCTATAAAAACTAAAGGAAATTTGATGAGCTGCTAGATCGGTGAACGCATCAAGGTGCTAGGAGGGTGGATGATATCCAAAGAAGGCATAGGAGCTGCAGGCCCACAATCCCCTACCCCGTACCTCATCCTATACATCTCTTCCATCTGCTTTTCCTGAGTTGTATTCTTTGCAATAAACCTGTAAACATAAGTAAAGTATTTCCCAGAGTTCTGTGAGTCTTTCTAGCAAATTATCAAACCAATTTATAGCATAGAAATTCCCAGTTTATAGCCAATCAGAAGTACCAGTGACTTGCAGCTGGCATTTTAAATTCTGTATCATTGTTTTCTTTTTAAAAAAAAAGTGTAATATATATTTTATTGATTATGCTATTATAGTTGTCCCATTTTTCTCTCCCCTTTATTCCCCTCCACCCTGCACTGCCCCTCCCCCCAGCATCCCTCCCCTTTCATGTCCATAGGTTGTATATGTAAGTTCTTTGGCTTCTCCATTTCCTATACTATTATTACCCTCCCCCTGCCTATTTTGTGCAACTATTTATGCTGCTTATTCCCTGCACCTTTTACCCCATTCTCCCCTCCCCCTCCCCTCTGATCTCCATTTCTATGATTCTGTTCCTCTTCTAGTTGTTTTGCTTAGTTTGTTTTTGTTTTTGTTTAGGTTCAGCTGTTGATAGCCTTGAGTTTGTTGTCATTTTATTCTTCATAGTTTTTTATCTTGTCTTTCTTAAATAAGTCCCTTTAACATTTCATGTAATAAGGGAGTGGTGATGATGAACTCCTTTAACTTTACCTTATCTGGGAAGCCCTTTACCTGCCCTTCCATTCTAAATGATAGCTTTGCAGGATAGAGGAATCTTGGATGTAGGTCCTTGCTTTTCAGGACTTTGAATACTTCTTTCCAGCCCCTTCTTGCCTGCAAGGTTTCTTTTGAGGAATCGGCTGATAGTCTTAAGGGAACCCCTTTGGAGGAAACTGTATCCTTTTCTCTTGCTGCTTTTAAGATTCTCTCCTTATCTGTAATCTTGGGTAATGTAATTATGATGTGCCTTGGTGTGTTCCTCTTTGGGTCCAACTTCTTTAGGACTCTGAGCATCCTGGACTTCCTGGAAGTCTTATTTCCTTGGCCAGATTGGGGAAGTTCTCCTTTATTATTTTTTCAAAGAAGCTTTCAATTTCTTGCTCTTCCTCTTCTCCTGCTGGCACCCCTATGATTTGGAGGTTGGAATGTCTAAAGTTGTCCCAGAGGTTCCTAAGCCTCTCATTGTTTTTTGAGCTCTCGTTTCTTCATTCTGTTCTGGTGGAATGTTTATCTCTTCCTTCTGCTCCCAATCGTTGATTTGAGTCCTGGTTTCCTTCCCTTTACTGTTAGTTCCCTATATATTTTTCTTTATTTCACTTTGCATAGACCTTGCTTTTTCCTCCATTTTGTGACCATATTCAACCAATTCAGTTAGCATCCTGATTACCAGTGTTTTGAACTGTGCATTTGATAGATTGGCTATGTGTTAATCGGTTAGTTCTATTTTTGGAGCTTTGATCTGTTCTTTCATTTGGGCCATATTTCTTTGTCTAAGCGGGCCTTTTATGTTCGAAGGAGTGGAGTCTTAGGTATTCACCAGGGCGGGGCAACCCAGTTCGCTGAGTTGTGATGCTGTATGTGGGGGAGGGTCCAGAAGGGAGCAATGATGCTTGTTTGGCTGGGCCGTTTTTCAGTCACTTCCCCCATTACCCACAAGCAAATTGGGCCCGTCTGGTGCTGATTCCCCTTCTGGTGGGTTTGGGTACATTCTAGGATCCTGTGGGTCCCTCCAACGAACTCTCTTGTGAGGCTCAGAGTTTCTCCTGTCACCACAACCCCCACAGGTTATTACCCCTAGAAGCAGTGAGGCTTCCTTTTCCCACACTGGAACCCTGGATTGCATGGTCTGCTCCCCAGCTGTTCCTCCGGTTTATCCACACGCAAATGTGGGACCCCCACCCCCACCCCTCCGTCTGCCAGCCACCACCTCGCCTGCCTGGTCCTCCAGCCCCACCTTGCCACGTGTCCTCTCCGCCCTGGCTGCCTGTCTCCGCCCCTCTTACCCGTCTGGATGAATGTTTCTTCTTTAACTCCTTGTTTGTCGGGCTTCCATACTGTTCCATTTTCTGGCAGTTCTGGTTATTTTTTATTTTTAAATTTGTTTTCCTTTTGGTTGTGCGAGGAGGCGAAGTGTATCTACCTACACCTCTATCTTAGCTGGAAGTCCCAGACTGTATCATTTTATTTTTATTTATTTTTTATGTGACTGGCATTTGAAAGGGGGTGGTCTTTTGGAACCAAGCCCTTAACCTGTGGGGTATGAACCAGCTCCAGGTACTTAGTGTCAGAATTGAACTGACTTACAGGACAACCATTGGTGTCCACAGAGAATTGGTGTTGGTGTTGGTATTGGTGTGGGTGTTGGAAAACACTCCAGAAATATATGCACAGTGTGTGTGTTTTTGAACAGCTAAGGGTCATAGGATTGTGGGTTATAAAGGTTGAATCTAAATCTGTTGGTTAAAGTGGCCATTTCCAATCATGAAAATAATTAACACTTAGGGGCATTTAATGTGCCAGGCACTCTACTGGTCTTTAATAATTCCTCATTTAATGCTTCTAATGACCCCATCAGGGAAGTACTAATATTATCCCCATTTTACAGGTGAGGAAATAGTTTTAGAAATAGGAAATAAGGTTTAGAAAGATTACTCGACCAAGGTCAGTCAACAAGGAAGTAGCCATTCTAAGATTTGAACCCCTTCACTGTACAGCCCAGTAGCTGCTATCTGCTTGCGCTTGAAAGCACGTCTCATTCCTGGCTCAATGCTAGTTTCTGTAGCTTGTTGTGAGCAGGGGGGTCTGCATAGCTGCATCCTTTCCTCAAGACTCTTCTGTTCCCATGTAGGAACTGTGATAGGTCCTGGGCCCATGCCTGTCCCCCCAGGATTCCTGGAGCCCCTGGTTGAGGGAAGATTTGCCACAGGAAAGCTACCTGCAGAGCCCTTAGAGCCCTCTGGCTTAGTAATGAGAATCACTGGCACAGGGCTGCTTGAAGGATCCCACATCTCTGTTGACTCCCTGAGTCAAGACACAAGACACAAGAGCATCTCTGACACAGATTTCTTTCCATTTATCTGGATTTAGTAGAACTACCTCTAAAGAAGCCTTGGCCCCATGCCCACTTCTACCCAAGTGACCCCTCAGCTGGTTCTGGGCTCAGGGTAGGACCCTGGATACTGCTACTTAGCATCATCCTGGGCCCCCAGCTATCCCTTGTCCAAGACTTGGGACAATGGTAAGGGATGCCGCTCAGCTTTGTCCTCAGCTGGTACCTACAGCTTGGATTCTGCTCAGCCTCATCCTGGGTTTCAAGTGGTCCTTTAGTTTCATATGGGACTAAAGACAGTTCTTCAGCCTCTTGGCAAAGTGTGGCAACCTCCCAGGCTTGTCGAGGCCTGTTGTTACTCCTCAGCCTCATGGAGGCCCTCAGGTGGCAAACCTGAATGGCCAAGTCCTGAGATGGCTCCTGGGGCTCACTGAAGTCTAAGGACAATACCATGGCTTCATCCAGGATTTGGATGGCTCTTATCCTGGCCCTAAAGCCAGGTTATCTACCAACAGCAGGAGTCATCCTACTAGCCCTTAAGCTACTTCTCCTCCCAGAGGCCCAGAACCAGAGACAAGTCATCCCTCAGCCTCCTCCTCAGCCCCATCCTGGTTTGGGAGGGGTCTTCTTCCTTTTCTTGAGGCTGGGCCCAATATGGCTCCTCAATGGGAACCTGGGGATAGACAAAAGCACAAATTCTGCTTCCCGTGCATGATCCTGCTGAACTGTGGTGGTTTCTTCACCTGAGACTTAGCTCTGGAGCTCCTGACTACAGAGGAGGACTTGTGCTCAGAGGAGGACTTGTATTCGGTCGGCCCCTGAGGTCATAGGCAAAAGAAGGGGGCCAGGTTATTCCTTGGAGTTGTATGGCTCAAAGAAGTTCCCCAGGACCACCCACTAGTAGAGCCTCCAGGTGGGGAATGACCCAGCCTAGCAGCTGTCAGGGGTGCAGGTGGGCTCACTTGGGAACTTTCACCTGTTCTTGTCCTTGCTCATACCCCATCTCTAATGGGAGGGGCAGGGGTTTGGAGAGTGACCCCAAACTATGTCTAAGGACCTTGGAGAACAGCTCAGGCATGCAGATATCATGGGGCTGGGTCCTGGTGGAGTGTGCAAGAGGGCATTATAGATATGGTCCAGTGTGGTCTTCCACTGGACTCCAAATAAGAGCAGAGATCCCAAGTCTGAGGTCTTGAGGTTTTTTTATTTTAGAGCCAGGAGATAGAGAGGATCTCCAAACAGGATGTTGAGGCCTGTGGAAATGGGAGGTCTAGGAGCTGAGGTGCTTGGTCTTGGGTGCCTGGGTAAAGGGGAACTTTCTGGGGCTGAAGGTTTCGAGTCCCAGATTCCAGGTCCAGCATCCCTGGGCAGGAGGTCCCTGGGTAGATCATAGGCCAATGAGTTCCACAGGTATGTCTTACCTTTAGAGCTCCGTGAAGTTCATTTGGCAGTAGCCTATGGGAAGCTTGAAGGTGAAGCTAAAACTAGGCAAGACCAAAATGCAGTCTGGCAAAATTGAGGAAACAAAGCCTAAGACTTCTATACCTGCCTGTAGAGCCATAGGGCCCACCCATATTCCCAGCCACAGCTCTATCCTTCCATTCCTTTACCAAGGAATCTACTGTTTGAACACAGACTACAGTTTTCATGCTGCCCAACGACTAGACTACAGGACTACAGCAACCAAACTGCAAAGGCAAGAGATCAGAGCCTCACCCCTCCCTCTACATGTAGCCCATAGGAAATTGGACCCGGTGGCCAAGGTGGACCAGTGTCCAAACCACTCCTGCTTTCCTCCCATGTCCTGACCCAGCCCTAGGCCTGGCCCTGGCCACCTGTCATTGAGATCGTTACAGTGGGCTCCTAGTTGGTATCCTTGTCTTCTCTAATCTAACCTTGCTTATACAGAGTATTATAATGAGCAAATCTGATCAAATTCAGCATCTACATCAATATTCAGGGTAAAGGCCCAATTCTCAACAAACACATCTCTTCCTTCATGAATAGACCTGCCTCTCTTTCTAGTCTTCCCTCCAGTCAACCT